TTTTATAATATCAAGATTATATGTGTGGTTTTTTTATGAAATCATATTAAATACAAATATATATATATATATATATATATATATATATATATTCATCTATGAAAATATAGCTATAAAGGCATATTTTACTACTTCAAAACTATAATTTATGTTATTTAAATATTTTTAAATGAAATATTTCTATTTTATGAACTTTTCCTTTTTAATGAAATCATATTATATAGAGATATATTTCGTTTTTAACTTCTTTTTAAACTTTATAGTTGTTCCTTTTTTTTATTATATATGTTATTTGAAAAATTGGAAAATTTGAAAAAAAAAACAAAATTAAAAGAATCAATAATAGTATTTTAATGTAATATTTCTAATTCATTAAGAGTATCAGTATAATCGACCAATGTGAGAGTTAATGTAAGCGCGATACATAGAAATCTGACTTCTCAAATAATATTATAAGGATATATAGCTTTAGTTACGTAGCTATCCCATCTTAGACCATGATTAACCCAGTTTTTAAGGCGGGGTTCTTAGCCGAAGTTAAAAAACTGTTTCTTAACTTTTAACTAAAAATGCTAAGAATCGGTTCTTAAAGTCCTTATTTAAGAACCGGTTCTTAGCGTTTTTAGTTAAAGTTAAGAAACAGTTTCTTAGTTTCCGCTAAGAACTTTGTCTTAAGAATCCGGGGTTAATCATACTTTTAGTTCTTAGAGCATCTCCAATGGTGTTACCACCATTGGAATCCTTAGCATTATTAAACTATTTTTTTTAGAATAGTTAAAGACTCCCAACAAAATTGTATGTACAATGGTGTTCTTCAATTTGGAGTCCTTAAGAATAAACAAATATTAAATTTTAAAACATTTAAAATTTAAAATTTTATTTATTATATGATTAAATTTAATCACCAAATTTGTTACAAATGTTTTCAATTATATATGAATACATTATGTGTTTTTGAAAGAAGAAAAAAAGGCACCATTCAGACGTAGCCACGAATCTAAGGACTAAGTCCTAAAAATCCTTATCTAAATACCAAATCTTACCAATTTACATTAGTTAATAATATTTTATTTTAATTTATGTTGGTTTACGTGCTAAGAATTGGTGATAAATCATCATTGCACTTGCTCTAAGGGTGTGAGAGATCATGCATGCATGTGTTCTTCGCAGTAGATGCCAACATTTTTTATAATATTACGTGGCATATTCTATTATGCAAAAACAGAAAGGAAAGTCACATAAACATGTGAATTATGATAGTCCAAAGAATTCATTTTATAATGTTTTTTGCCGGTTAAAAATATTTCATAAATTCAGTGTAACCTAAGTAATCTATTAATGATTACTTGAAGCAACTTTTACAATTTGCATTTTAACTAAAAATGTTTAAAAAGTTGTAAGCTTAAAACACTCCAATTATCTAGTGAAATATTGTCGAGAATAGTTCTTGATTCACATGCAGTTCAAAAGTTATACTTTCAATTTTTTTTTTCATTATATTTATTGGTACGAACCACTTTTTGTAAAATCATAGTTGAATGTGAAATATAATGTGGTTCTTCCACTCTAACATGAGAGCTGTTTTTTATTCTATCTGTTCTACATTCATAGTCTTTGTCTCAACCAATCCCCCAAGTGAAGCCCTTCAAATATTGTAGGATAAATAGGTTGTTTCCAAGTTTTTTTTATTATTATACACAGTTTTCTCAAAAAATTTCCAGACTCAAGAGACTAATCTGTATCTCTGCACCCCGAATATGAAATTACAGTGGCTAGAGCGAATCGAATCCAGGTGACCGTATCTGCAGTTGCAGGCCGTTTACCACCAGACTAACTCGTCTGGTTGATTGTTTCCAAGTTAACATTCCAAGAACCACCACATCGTAGCTGTAAACTTCACTCTTCTTTGTGATCTTCATGCTATAACCATACTCTACAGAAACACACACAGTCCATGCATGATAAAATCAAATGACAAAACTTTTACATGGGTCTCTCTAGTATTTGAAAAACTGTCCTGTTAAAACATTATTACTTTTCATGAGAGATTTCCAATACAAATGTCCTAATAATTTTTAACTAAACGTCCTTAAACTATATGTTTATAGACATAGAGTGTGGACATACATGGAGCAATGCAATCATAAGATCCAACAATGATATTAGACCACCGGCCAATGTCACTTTCCTCAACAAGCTTAGCTAAACGGAAATCCGCAGGGTACGGTTCAGAACAAGACCAATCAAATTGGCAATCATGATGTACATAAGCTAAACCTTGAGCTGTACCGAGCAAGATTATGTATCTAAGATCCCAATCAAGCGCAGAGCCTCGTCTCTCATGAAGAAAATTCCCTAAGCTTCCATTAGGCATGGAATCATCATCAAAAGCCTTGTATTCTGCTTCCGACAGCATCTAAGAAACCGAACTATGTTCTTGCGTCTGATCATCCCAAGTGATTTAACTTCTGCTCAAAACGAATTACTTAGGTTTTTGTCAAGCTTCACATTGTTACCACCGTTAACCATTGTTGACCAAAGCTTCTTCACAACTTTGCGGTATACTACTCATCAATCATCAGTCATGAACATCATCTACCAGTCACATTAATCTCAATTAAATATTTTAGAACACTTCTATCCATGATTATCTCACCTTAAGATATCTTAAAGATAAAACATAGATAATTTTAGTATAACTTAATAAATAACTAAACTGTAACTCATTAAAAGATACTCAACAAGCGATGAATTGACACATGTAACAAAAGTATCTTAATTTTTTTGTTGGAGTTCTTAAAAATATTTTTTTTTTATTTCTCTTTCTTCTTTTCATAATTATTTCAAATTAAATAGTGTTTAAATACTTGTTAAAATATCTTTGTTGAGATTGTCCTTATGATCTGATCTACCGAGAAGTTCAGTGTAAGGTCCCAAAGATTTAAAAGAACAAGAACACAATTTTACTGAATTTTTTTTCTTTATATCTATCATCCCAAATACGGTAATATTTATAAATACATGAAAGACCAAGGAACTACCCCCATTACCATCACACGTCACTAGTGAAAATAAAAACCTTTTAACTTTTAGAAGGTGTTACTGGGACATAGATTTATAATGATTTTTAGATATTTTAGCGTTTATAGTGTTATTCGTTTATAGATTCTCATATTCTCACCCAAATCTCTATAATATTATTTGAGAAGTCACTTTCTTAGGTGTCGCGCTCACGTTAACTCTCACGCTGGTTGATTACTATGATACCCTTAATGAATTAAAAATATATTTAAATATTATTATTTCCTTTTTAAACTCTTCCAAATAACAATATAAAACAAAAAGGAAATATTTCTAAAATTTACAAAACTATTTAAAAACGAAAAATAAGTATATATATAATATGGTTTCATAAAAAAAGAAAGTTTACAAAATAGTAATATTTAACTTAAATATATTTTTAAATAACATAAATTATACTTTTTAAGTAATTATACTTTATATCTATATCTTCTTAGATGAAAAAATATTTGTATATAATGTGTTTTCATAAAAAATTTCATACAAATAATCTTGATATTAGAAAAAGAAATATTTTTCTTTAAAAAAATAATTTAAACAATAAAATATATATTTTCAAAGTAATTAGTTTTTGTATATATCTATCTATTTTATTAGATGATTACATAAAATAATTAAGTAACATAAACTGATATATGTTTAATTGACAAAAAATTATATTTAGTATATTTATTTGATTATAATATCTTACCGTTACAACAAGAAATATAAATTATATTTTACTTATATAATATAATTTCTCAAAAACAATCACATTTTTACTGCATATTTTAAGAGATATTAAAAACAAAACTAAAAATAAATTTAATGGTAAACATCTTTTGATCAGATAACTACAATTCTTTTAAAATATCATAACACTATATAATTTAACAAGGTAGATATATTATATTTTAATAGTTAAAATTATATGTTTTCTTAATAACTCTTTTGATGTTTAATTTTCTGTTTCTATGTTTGTAGAATTTAATATAACCATAATCAAAATACTTAAGAAAATTATAATTCTTTATTTTAAAAATTATTTAAAATAAATTTCAGTTTACCATCCAATCAATCTAAGGAATAAATTATTTAAAATTTAAAAAATATTTAATTATTGTAAATATTGATATGTTTTCATAAGCTTCTGAAAATTTATTATTACTTATGTATGTAATTTACAATTAGACACTTTAGTTTTTATTTTTTCGTTCTAAGCACAAAAAATATTAAAATACATAATCTTACTAAGATATACTTATATTTCTAAGATAACAACCAACATAAATGTAAATAAAACAATTAATCAAAAGTTTAAGATATTTAGAATAAAAAAGTTTATAGTTGAATTCAGAGAAATAGATAGAATCCAATATATATATATATATCCAAATGATAAACTAACTAAATATAATATATCTAAAATTATATATAACTAAAATAATATAATATTATTAATATAATTATACATAAAAACTATAATTTAATATAAAAGTTAAAGTAAATATCAATCAACTATTATAATATATTTATTTTATAAATATTTATGCCCGTGCATGAGCACAGGAATATCACCTAGTCTAATGTTATTTGTATAGTGATTTTACAATTCTTAGATAAAATTATTTGTTATTTAAAATGTTTAGATTTTGATGATTTTATAAATCCACTAAAGTTAAGGTTATTGGGAATTATATTCATATATAACTTTTTAACTCATGAATTAAGATTTGAAAAATATTACATTACATATATCCCTTATAGATTCTTAAAAGGGCACATTCTTCAACAAAACTCACTTCGGCCAAACCATGATAGAGGAGCGGTGTTTGGTTCTTCTGATAGTACTTGGATATGTTTAGCTTTAATCAATCTCTTGGGCTATATGTTTCTTGTTTTTTTTTTTTACTTTATTGAATAACACTGAGAACAGAAGTGTCGCTCTCTCTTTTTTTATTATTAATTCTGAACAATGGAAGAACATGAAAGCCTTAAAATAATTCTCAAAAACCCTTGATGAGAGGATTGAACGAAATTAAAGATAACAAACAACATACACACACCGACAGTTTGGTCTACCTCAGAACGGCTTGTTAGTTAGAGGTTTACAAAGTCTACCTCAGAACAAGGCCCAACCAATTAAAACAAACAAAACCCCCAAGTTAAACACACTTGGAGACAACAAACCAAATGCTGAGTTTGACTTGAGTGGGTATACAGGCCGTATTGCGATTCCACAGTTCCCGGTTGAATTATGAAAGTTACGTTGGAGCTTAAGGTATCCACTTTCACCCCAGTTTGGTCCCCATGAGTTACGAATAATCCAATAGTCTTCACCTTTTTCTGTCGTTCCATACCCCACGACTACCACATTGTGGTTTCCATACCAATGGTCACATGGTCCTGTAAACACACCCTAGATGAAGAAAAAGACAACTTATTAGTCGTATTTGGGTTTTAAGAGAAAACAATCTTTTTGGTGAAAGTGTAAATAAATAGGATTTACAGATTTGTAGAGTTTCATGTTTTCGGCCTCAATCATAACACTAATAGGTTGATGAGCCACAGCTTTCTTCAAAGACATCTCATCGTTATGAGGAGCATCCTCATAACTATCAATGGTAACATACCGAGTGGTAACCATCTACACCATGCAAAACAAGATATGCGTTACAAAACTGAAACCATAATAAGCACTTTTAACAAAAAAAAGAAATGGTTGTTATACAAACCTCAATGGCCTTGCACGCGGCAGTATCATTCTCAGTATAAGGGTAAACTTTATCCGTTACAATACCACCGTTTTCGATAATGAACTCAAAAGCGTCAGCTGCGTTACCTCCCAAACATCCAAAGTTACCGGAATCTCCCCCTCTGTCACAATCCATGAGTTCTTGTTCCGACAAAGATACTAATTCTCCTGTCTTGATCTTGTTTAAACCCTCCACCGCTCCAACCGCCGCAAACGCCCAACAACCTCCTGTTTTTATCAACCGCAATCGCAATCTCAACAGCAAAATAAATAAATAAATAAATATAATGCTATAGGAAATATTGAACACAACACACATACCACAGTCTCCTTGGTCTTTGACTGGAACAACCGCACCTTTCTCTCTCCAGTCAACTTCATCAGGCAATACGTCTCCTTCCTTGTATAAATACCTTTCTCCTATCACTGGATCGCTTGATCTTACCATCTTCCTCCCACTCAAGTGAATAGCTCGAAACTCATCATCGGTTAGATCCGCAAACCGGGTCAACCCGAGTTCGTAAGTCCGGTCCGGGACCGAGTTATGTGCTTCTACCAACTTCACGTTGTCTTTGAAGATGTTGAATCGTCTCTCTTTCTCCCCAAGAGCGTTATAGTTCTTCCGATTCTCCACAAGCCACCGCTCGTACATCCGTTGAACTTCCGCATCGTTCCCCTTCGTCTCCGTCGCTGAAACGCCGCTGAGAGACGAGGAAAGTAGTAACACGGAGAGGATCACGAGAGTTATAGTTATAGAAAAAGGCATTTTGGACTTCTTTTTGTTGCGTTGTTTCAGTTGAGACTTCTGCAGCTGTTGCGTCCTCTTGGAGAAAAGTGGAGAGCGTGAGAGATCATAGATGTGTTCTACGCAGTAGGTATCATCATTTTTTATATTATCAAGTACTTGCATATTTTATTATGGAAAAAAACAGAAAGGAAAGTCACAGAACATGTGTATTTTTTTTTTTGGAAAGTCACAGAACATGTGTATAGAGCAACATTACTGGTGAGAGACTCAACTGAATTTCTCAAACAAAAAAATTTAATGTGAAACAAAAAGAAATTCTTAATAACATGACATATGTATTGTAAAATTGGTGGGGTCATTGATATACAGACACGTGAAGGTATTTATATCCCAGGGAGGGATGATTTTCCTTCTCTCTCCTCCACTTTATTATATTTCTATTTTTTCAATGTTGAAAACTGTGTCGAGAGCTTCCCACAGTCCCACTGCTCTTGCTCTATACTCCCAAGAAATATTATTTTTTTATAGTGTATTATTATTTTACCGGTTTAATATATTCAAAATTTCAGTCTGACCCTAATCAACCAATGGTGTTCTCAGTAACAGAAGATCAAAAATAAATTAGTGAACAGAACACTTATTCAGTGTTTCAAAAAAAATATGAACACTTGTTCAGATGCAATGTAAGAGCACCCGCAACGCGGGATTTAACTAAAATCCTTAAACCTAATTCTTAAGCGATTATTAAAATATTTGTATAAATTTTGTTTCGTTTAAGAAAGGATCTTTAATTATAGGGTTTAAGAATTTGATCCTTAATGAGCTGGTATCGTTTACTTGGTTGGTGTAAAAATTTTGTTTCGTGAGTAAAAAAATGCGTTCATTCGAACGACGAAACTGAAAAAAAAAACAGTGGAGGCGAAAGGAAAGACGATTCGGCGATCGTCAGTATTGAAGATAAAGCAGAGACTTTTGATTCATTATTTATGAATCTGGATTTGATTCATGTTGATTTCATCCTTTTTAGGGTTCGATTGTGTGGTTTAAATAGATTTAGGGTTTCAAATCTTGCACGCTTTTTTTGGTCCTGGAGGTTGTAGTTTCACAAGATCTTTGGATATGGCACGCCGTTTTTTTGTCCTAAAGGTACCTTAAATGATATTAATGCCCTCGATCAGTCCCCTGTTTTTGATGACATTTTACAAGGTCGAGGTCCAAGGGTATAATACGTGGTCAACAGACACCAGTATGATTTGGCGTACTACCTCAGGGACGGTCTATATCCAAAATGGTCAATATTTATCCAATCTATCTCACTTTCTCAAGGTCTTAAAGCACAGTTATTTGCTAAAGTTCAAGAAGAAACCCAAAAAAATGTAGAACGTGCTTTTGGAGTATTGCAAGCTCGATTTGCGATAGTGAAATACCCGACAATTTTGTGGGACAAAAGATAAATAGGGATGGTTATTCGAACATGTATCATACTGCTAATATGATAGTAGAAAATGAATGCAATGGATACACTCAGTATGATATATCCGAGTTTGAAGAAGAAGACTCAATTAGAAGTTCACAGGTGGATATGTCATATTCTACTGACATGCCTTCAAATCTCGGTAATATGTTTGGCGTACGGAATCATGTCCGTGATCGGCGTATACATGAACAATTAAATATGATTTGATTAAAAATATTTGAAACAAGTTTGGTAATGATGAAGATGTTTAATTGTTGTATGTTTACATTTAATCATTCAATAAATAAAAAATTCTAAATTTAAATATTTTAGAAATTTAATAATTTTTAATTTCTAAGATTCAATTAAAAAAATTCTAAGAATTTCATAATGGATTACACCATTGGACATACAATTATGATTAGAGTTCTTAACTATTCAAAAAAAAAATATTATTCTATTATTGCTCTAATGAGCTTTTTTTTTTGCCGTCAATGTTTTTTTGAATAAATAAAAGGGCATAGCCCAATAGACCAACATACAAACTGAAAGCTCAATCCAAAATACAATTGAAACATGAACAAATTATAAAGTGGGCCTCAAGCCCAAAACAACTCCACCCACATGGCAGAAACCCTAGATGCTTCCTTGACTCCCATCGACTGGATTGCCGGAGATCGGACGGCGCAGAACCAGCTCGAAACGCTTCACAAACCAACCCCACTGCAGATTCTATCATAGAGAGCATCAATCGGACTAACTGATATCTCATCCAGATTCATGAAACCCTCTCACGAGAGAAAGACCCGACACCACCAAATCTATTAACTTCTCATGTCGTCAACGTCGTCGGAGAGCTTCATCCACTAAGGATATCTCATCCAAAACCAACCCTAACACACGACTAAAACACCCAAGCAACCACAACACAATAACAATTACCCAAATATAGTAGGGTTCCAAACCGACGGTGCATAGCTTAAAGGATGAACGCTCTGGAGATTAAAGCCGGCGACGACGGAGCCGCGTCGATACGCCCTAAATATGAAGGATCACTCTAAGGTTGGTGGATTGGATAAGCCTTGCACCGAATGAGCTAGAAAGCACAGACGATCAAGAAAATGATCAAATGGTGACACAAGAGGTGCGGAAAGTCTCTTGATACTACCAACCTCTATGCCCGAAGATATGACACACTCCGATGACTCAAAAGATAAGATGTTCGGTGAAGAACAAATGATTTAACAAGTTAAAAGGAGATGTTTTTATTAAAAAGTTGAATGAATTACAAAGGAAATACTTAGGCCTTTATATAGTAAGCAATGTGGTATACAAAAGGTTTGATCAAACCTAGAAACTTGAAAACACATAAATATAAAAGACTTGACCAGAATAATAATTGTCTTTGACTTGATAAAAAGTTGGACAGTTTTTGTAGAATGACTCTTAGGCTGGTCGTGTCCTTTCGCATGGTTGAAGATCTCAAAATTGCCGTCAGATTGATATATTATATGACCATGGCTTATATTTTTTTGGTGGGCCTTTCTTAGACAAATCTAAACACTGATATCTTATTGAGCATAAGGCTTTCACGTTATGCATCAAACCCATTAGCTTCTCGCGGTCTAGAACTCCATGGATCAAACCGATAAGGCCCATAAAATGCCTATTAAGCCAAGCTATGATCAGTTGCTTAGCTGGTTCGTACCTAAGCTCCTTGTTAAGACATAGCTGCTGATCTGGGTCGCATCATGCGTGAGCCTCTTCTTTCCGGAGACAAGACCAGCAACCACAGAGCTGGAAGAGTCTCCATCTCCCGTAGATAAGACCGGCAGCGACAGAGCTGTGCAAGTTTCCGCCTCCCGGATTCAACACTTCAATTGATAGACTAATTTTTCAACGCTAGAGATTTTTCCATCACCGTTTCTTTACTCCAGACACAATAGCTTCTTAGTCAGAGGTCAGACAAAGCGGTGTGAGACAAAGAATGACGGAGACACTTGAGCAGTTTTTAATGAAGAGACAGAGGCTCCGGCGATAACACACGCGCTAGTCAACCGCCGACTGAGATCTACTTTCTCTTTCTTGTCTTTTGTCACGAGCATTTGAAAAATATAATTATTTTTCTCCGGTTAGGGAGACACTATTATTTGTAGGGATGGGCATGATTTACCATGAAATGTCAATGCTCATAAGTCGAGATCCATCGAATTCAAATAAGTTATTATCTAGATATGGGTCCTATGATCGTTGCACAAAAAGAAATGGGTCCTCTCCTCTGAGTTGCTAAACTTAATATTTTTTTTTTCAAGAACAACGAACTTAGGCTATGAATGGTGATCAAAAGAACGAGGAGGAACAATACATTCCTTAATATTCTTAAAAAAAATTACCATTCATAAGGAATAACTTTTCCTTTCTATTCCTCATCATTCCTTTTATTGTAGAGATTTATTAAACAAATTTGTTCCTTATTAAACTTGATATGGAATAACTATTCCTCTTCATTCCCATAATTTTATTCCCATCTATTCTTTTTTTATTTGTTCTTGATGTTCCTGTGATGGTTACCGGTTAATAAATATATACTACTAAAATAATATATAGAAAACAATTAATTTTATAAATCCTTAAATCATATATATAGATTTTTTTTCTAGATCATATTGGAAAGGATCTTGAATTGAGTTGTGAATCTAAATAACGTGTTCATCCCTAATTCTCTAGTAAGGAAAATAGCTGTCATCTTAAGATATTTTGAAATATCAAATTACTTCTTAAACCCACATTTTACAGCAAATCAGATCAAATCTCAGCCAACAAATCGACCGACTTGGTTGGGTAAGAAGGCATCATTGCAACACCACATTCCCCAAATGAATCATCGATGTTACATGGAGCTTAACGTATCAGCTTTCTCCCAAATTTGATCCTCATGAGTTACGAATGATCCAGTAATCTTCACCCATACTCGCTCCAAGGGACTGCTAACAATGCAAAAGCACATGGTCCTAAATCTTTTCGAAAATAATGTCTTTATCAGCAAATATGCAGAGCTTTGAAAAAAAAAATATGCACAGAAGCTGTATCTTTTGGGAAGGAGAAACATAAACACGTGTCTAAATGAATTTGGTAAATAGAAAATTATTTTAAACAAGTATGAAATCATCGATTACCCCACAAATTAGACTACAAAGATTTTTTTCATTTGTTCATTACTATAAACAATTATTTTACAAATCCATAGTAATGCGAGGCATAGGGCCTACAGAAAGTTTGAGCCGGGCTTGTCTTCACCACTTGATGATCCATATTAATCTTATGAGAGCTATGGTTTTTAATCTTAATGGAGCTATGCCCATTGGTTGTTTCAGTAGAGTTATGCAAGAGTTGACGTTTGAGACAAGAAGAGAGGTAGACTGTTTAACCAGTCGTGTCTTGGGGATTGGCGGGTGACCTGTCAGAGCTAATTACATCCGACGATTCGATTGTGTACACTACAATTTATATCCGTCTTTGTATTCATTACACCAAGAACGTGTCAGGTGACGAAACTGAATCAAAATGTGGAAGAAAGTGGTTAAATAATATTTGATTATAAATCAGATTAACTTTTCTGGGTCAAATTTTTATTAAAAGATACGAGAATAATGCTGTGGAGCAAATATCAGCTTACTTATTGAATATTTACATAAAATTCAAATCAAACGCAAGATAAAGTTACTAAAAGCTAACGAGCATGATCCAATCTTGAATTGTCTAAAAACAAAAGACTTGAATCTTGAACACTTTGGATGAAAAGCTGAAAGCAATACGGTTCCTTTATTGGTTTAGTCTCTCCTCAAGCGCTGCTCACAAGCACGTTAGTAGCCTTCGTGGTTGCAGTCGCTGGGCCTCTGGTCAAAGCTTTTACGCTTAACGGACTGTTTGCCTTCTGTCAAACCCAAATTCCATAAACGAATCAGTCAAAGTAACAAAACAAAACACAAAGTCTTTAACTCATAAGAGAGAACAAGAAACTAACCATTCTACAAGTACCAGCCTTCAAATCACAAACAGGGTATGACTGAGGGCAGCAGCTAGATCCATCTTCGCAGCAAGTGGCTGACTCTAGTGGACAACATCCCCAGCTATAGCATTTGCCTTTGTACTCGTAGAGACAACAGCAAGTAGACTTTGCTGGACAAGTGTAAGACTTGTCACAAACAACTGGTGCAGCTGGTGGTGGTTTTGGTGGGTTAGAGCTTGATGATTTGGTAGGGTAAGAAGCCATCATTGCCACACCACATTTTCCGGAGGAAGCTTTGATGTTACGTTCGAGCTTAACGTATCCGCTTTCTCCCCAGTTTGATCCCCATGAGTTTCGAATAATCCAATAGTCTTTACCTTCCGAGGTTCCGTATCCCACGGCTACTACACCATGGTCCAAAGCTGTTCCACATGTTCCTGTAAACACACCCTGAGAGAAACACACCATGATATTAGTCGGAAGGCATTTCAAACTCGGGTAGAACTAAGTGCATTCCTCCGGGACCCGACCGGATCAGAATCGGATCTAAACATATTAAAAAGAGAACAACAAAATATAGACTTCAATGAATTGTAAACCAATTATAAATGAAGAGTTGTTTTAGTATTACAGATTTGTAAAGTTGGAAGGCTCGGCCACCAGCTTCAATGGCAACACTAATTGGTTGATGAGCAAGAGCTTTCTTCAAAGACTTCTCATCGCTTTCAGGAACATCCTCATAACCATCGATGGTAACAACACGAGTGTTCTTCTGCAGGAAGACAACATAACTAATAAGTATTACTAAATTTAAATAACCATAAACTACAAAAAAGGTTAGCACTATGATCAAACCTTATCGGCATTGCATATGTTATCATCAGTGGCGGTATAAGGATAATCTTCCTCAGTATCAATACCACCGTTGTCAATAATGAACTGAAATGCATAGTCCATGAGACCACCACCACATCCACCATTGTAACTTGTGTCACAATCAACAAGTTCTTGTTCCGACAGAGACACTAACTCCCCTGTCTTGATCTGGTTTAATCCTTCAACCGCTCCGATCGCCGAAAACGCCCAACAACTTCCTATAAAATCATTTCTTTCACTATTATTAAACAGCGATTAAAACGCAAACGCAATTCAAGAACACAAGAAAAAATGAGAGATTCTTGAAGTCTCATACCACAGTTTCCTTGATCTTTGACCGGAACAACGGCGCCTTTGGCTCTCCAGTCAACTTCATCAGGCAACTTATCTCCAACGTTATGGAGATACCTCTCCGTCTTCACCGAATCTCTAGTCCTCTCCATCTTCTTCCTCAAGTAAATGGCTCGAAACTCTTCGTTGGTCAGATCGGCGAACCGGGTCAACCCGAGTTCGTAACTCTGGTTCGGGACAGAGTTGTGCTCTTGCACGAACCTCAAGTTGTCCATGAAGATCTCGAACCTTTTATCCTTCTCTCCTAGACCATTGTAGTTCTTGTGATTCTCCACGAGCCACCGCTCGAACATCTTCACTTCCTCCCGGTTGCGATGATCCGCCTTCGCCGTGACGCCGCCGAGAGAGGAGGAAAGTAGTAACACCGAGAGGGTCACGAGAGTTAGGGTTGTAAATGTTATTGGAGTAGACATTGTGTTTAGTTTTTGGTTATGTTTCAATGAGATTTGTGCAACAGTTGCGTCAGAGAATATATAGAGAAGTAAAGTTTTGTCTTCGTGACGGATAGATGTGTTCTTCGTATTGGCTCTGACGTGTCATTAATTTTATATTATATTATATAGTTTTATCTAGAAAAGAGAAGAAAAAATTGTCACATCACATGGGGATATAGATGGTTTCAGGAAATTTCGTTTTATTAAATATATGCTATATGTTAAGATTAAAGAGAGTTGATGATTCATAACTAGATTCAACGGGGTTAGTTTTTCTCTTGCTTACTTTATGTAAATCACCTATTGCTTAAACTGCAGCTTATATCGAATTAAAACTTAGATAAACTTCTTCTAATAGTTTATTGTTTCATTTTTACATCAAGATATTAGATTTTGTATTAAACCTTAACCAATGGTATGTTTTCATAACAAAACTTTTCCAGGTTTAATATTTAGAAAGAAGGTGTTTCTTAATTTGCAAAACCGAATTCTAAACTTTCACAGAGTAGGTACAAACGCCAATTAACCCATATGTGTTACACGCACTTTGGAAATGATAAAATAACCTTTATTTTATGAATATAAAATATTTAAAAATATAATTTTGAAGTTGAGGTCATACATAGTATTATTATTTTAGGTACACCAGCCAATGAAATATTCCGTTTTTCAATTATTTTATTTGTTGCTTGCACCCTACAAACTCGTATATGATAATATCGGAAAGTAGAACGGGGAACTCTTCCTTCCGAAGTCTTAACTCTTAAGATTTCTATTATGTAAACCTCGTTTCATATAAAACTGTTTAACCAAATGAATCCAAATATCTTCAAAAGTTACTTATATAAGTAAATATGCGTCCTCCTATTGGTTACTAATACATTAGTATTACTACCATTCTTAGGTAAGTCTGTACGATTGAAGCTTGAGTCATTTAATTTGTATTAAAAGCAAGCCCATTGGAATATGGTTGGATGTTTAATGTTTTAGAAGAATGCAGTAACGTCTATTTCCACAATTTGAGAGATTCACGCTATATAGTTTAATAAATTATGGTTAAACTATAACCTATGTATACAGTACTGCCCAATTTTTTATTAACTATTTTGAAGATTGTGAAGAGGTATGTTCATGTAAATATTATATGCACTACTTGCTCAACAATTTAGAGGAAAAGTATAACATTTCAGTGTTTTTTTTTGAAAAAATTATAACATTTAGGTCTGTGTCTTTAATATAACATTTCAGTGTTCTTCACAAGTTTTATATATTATATGTCAAGTGTCATTTTAGAATCACATGGATCTTTTTATTTTCCGGAAATCCAAGCTTTGATTATGTTATTATGTTTTTGTTTAACCATTATAGTTACAGTTATTATTTTTGGACTCGAAGAAAATGTAGTTCTCATAAAGTTGAATCGTTCTTTTTGATGTTGTCAAGAATGAGAAAGTTGGTTAGATAAGATCATAGATTCATAGGAACGTGCTAAATGGCCGGACAACGTGCAAGAAATTTATTTTAACTACCATACCGACTTACTTAATAATTTTTATATAATTAAAGATAAAACGATGACTCGTCTTAGCAAGACAAAAGGATAATCATTGATCAAGAAGTAATGTTAATTAAAAAGAATTATGAATCATTTATCAAAGATTAGTCCCCAAATTGATGATCCCCTTGTCTACAAGACGAGACACTACAAAGGGGTCATTTTCTATCTTTTTGACGTTTTCATATATAATCTTTTTCCTAATATCAACGCTTGCTTGTGATACATGAGAGAGAGAAGCCCAATTGAATAATAACTATTTCTGACCCGGTGACATACGTTAGATTATCATCATGGACTGTAATAGACCGCTTCTATTAACTGGGCCAATACTTCTTTCATAGACTATAATTAGTCCCTTCTGTACATCAAGGGCCACTACTTCTTTCTGATGCGTCTAAGTTCTAACTAAAATTGTTAAATAACGATCGTATATGAACCTAGGCAACAGGTAATCAAGTGCTTGTTTTGTTTGTTTAATATTTACACTTTATTCGTATATAAGTGGAATTACCTATTTCTCGTATGTTACATCCATGCATCGTCTTGTTTCTTTCTGTCTAACATAGAAATAGAGAGACACAGAGAGAGAACAAAGAATAGAAGTACAATCCAAAGGAACAAAATACAATGGATAAAAAGATCCACACTTTTTCTTCAAAAGAAAGAAGATCCACACTAATATTCAAATAAAAGAAGCTCCACACCAAAACAAAAGGAAACTTATCCAAGAGTGGCAGTATAATTGTTAGGAATGTGGGAATCAAATTAATTTTATACTGCAAAAAGTATTCTAAGTTATAGTTCGAATATTGTGTTTTAACACAAAAACATCTAGACAGAAACGAAATGAGCTGGGAAAAATGTGTGGAAGAAGAGAGAGGCACGTGCATCAACAACAGTGCAGGGTTGACTGGAGACACTAGGGTAGTGGAGAGGCACACTGTTCTCTACACACGCCTGTTTCCTCACTTACTCTCGCCGACGGAGGACGTCGTTTACCATGAGAAATGTTGGATCTGCTTTGCCAATTCAGTGGTGGGCTTACGTGATACTACAGATATGGGCCAGGAAGCTGCAGCGAGTCCCAAGTCGAAGACTGTATGTCCAGGTTAAAGCCCAAAGACCTATAGCCTGCGTTTTGAAGGAGAACACAAGATAAGTGTTAAAGCTGTGAGGAAACATGCCATGTGCAAGTTCGTAACGGACTGATGAGCTGGCTATCTACTTGCACAACATCAAAACGGAATCAACAGGAGTATAAAGAGAGAAAGGAAATAAGAATCTGACTTGTGAGAAAGGTTAAGAAAGCTTTACGTTGGTGATAGAGAGGGTGAGAGAAACACGTGAGATCTTGGTGTGTGATCATCTTGATACTGGGTTAATCTCTTTTCTATTCCGGTGAGTGACGCGAGCTTGGTGAGTGATGCGAGCTTGGTGAGTGTATTAGCTTGTAATCAGTTTCCTTTCTCTGAGACGTACCAAGGGTTTGTAAACACCCGAGGGAACTCATTACTTCTCGTGTGTCATTTACGTTTCCTGCATACAAACAAACAACCACATCAATAATCGATCTCAGAACATGATAACTTAGATAACTTGACAAGCAAGATATTTCACTACAATTGGTATCAGAGCCAGGTTGTGGTTTTGGAAGGTTAGATCTGAGGTGACCCTGAGTTCTTATCCATAGATCTGGTTAGTGAGGAATCTCTCACTGATCACGTTGTGGTTAGGGTCATCAGTAATAGATCTAGCTATCTGGTGATTATTTTTGTGAACGTTCTGGTTTTCTGATTTTCTGGATTATCTATCTGCGGTTATCTGGAGTTGTGGGGTTTCTATTACTGAGTGTGTTTCAGGTTCTGATCAAGCTTGATATCGCTTACGATGGAACCTACAAAGTCTAGGTTTGAGGTGGAGAAGTTTGATGGTGAAGGGGATTTCGCATTGTGGAAACACAAGATCTTGGCTCAGCTGGAGATCCTTGGGTTAGATTCAGTTCTACAACCTGAGGTGGAGGATCTAAAAGGAAAAAGTATTGCATCTGATGAATCGGATGCTAAGGTTTCTGCAGATCCTAAGTGGCTTGAGAAGGATAGGAGGGTAAGAAATTTGTTAAGTCTGAGTTTAAGTGATATGGTACTAAGTAAGGTGATTAAGGCGAAGACAGCTCTTGAAATGTGGACGGCTCTGGAGTCTACATATCAGATAAAGTCATTGCCTAATAGGTTCTATCTAAACCAGAGATTCTATAGCTATAAGATGGATGAAGAAAAGAACCTGGATAAGAATCTTGATGTCTTTCCAAACTGGTATCTGATTTGGCGAGTCTGGATGTTGAATTGAGCGAGGAAGATCAAGCTGTGATCCTTCTTAATAGCCTGCCAAGTAAGTTCGAACCGTTAGTTCATACTCTGAAGTATGGCAGAGATCAAGACGCCATTACGCTAAAAGAGATTACTAGAGCTGCTTACTCTATTGAACTGGATATGAAAGCGAAAGGTAGTCACGGATCAGCAGCCGCTAGTAATGAAGGTCTTGTAGTGCAAGCTCGTGGTAGACCTGAAAAGAAGTCAACACACAAATCTAAGCATCACAGTAGGAGCAAGTCAAGACCAAAATCTAAGAGAACTTGTTGGGTATGTGGTGCTGAAGGTCATTTCAAGAAAGATTACCCTAAAAGAAGTAATCAAAATAACTTCTATAAGGGTGAAGCAAGCGTTGGAAAGGCACAAGAAAGAGATGAACCAGTAATGCTTACTGTTTCAAATCAGAAGGACCGTGAAGGTTGGGTGTTGGATTCTGGATGTTCCTATCATATGACCTACATAAAGGATCTTATGTTTGATATTGAAGAAATTGATGGTGGGAAAATTCTGATGGGAAATGATACTTACTGTGAGGTTACAGCTATTGGGAAGGTGAAGATTGTTACTCATAAGAATACTTCCGTCATATTGACTGGAGTTAGATACTCTGCTACTGCACGAAGGAACTTGATCTCGCTGGGTCAACTGGAGAAGCTTGGATGTTGGTTTCAGTCCAAGAATTTTAGACTAAAGGTCTTCAAGGACAGGTCTGAAGTTCTGGCTGCTGATTATCGAGATACGTTGTACTTTCTCGATGGAGTACCTGAAAAACAAGAAGAATCGAACTCAGCTGAAGGATTACTTGATGCTACATCCTTATGGCATAGCCGTCTGGGCCATATGAGTGTAAAAGGTTTGCAATGTCTGGTTAACAAGGGATTTCTAAAGGAAGAGGTAATTGTTGATAAGCAACACTGTGAGCATTGTGTTCTTGGTAAATTCCACAAGTTATCATTTCCTAAGGAAAAGCACAATTCTGAAGAACCTCTTGCCTACGTTCACTCAGATCTGTAGGCTCTCCTAATGTTACTCCAAGTCTATCAAACTGTCAGTACTACATCTCTTTTGTTGATGACTATT